CATTAGCCTATAGCTTTTTAATTCTGTTTATTTTAATTTGGCGCCAAATACCAGTAAACGTGATAAACCTAAATTTTGATTGCACCAGAAAACTTCTGAAGCCTTGGAATATAGCGGACATGGCATACTTTATGTGTGTGTGTGTGTGTGTGTGTGTGTGTGTGTATGTGTGAGTGTGTGTGTTTTTTGGGGAGCCAGCAACCAAATATTTTTATTTAGATGGAAACATTATGGTGAGTAAACAATGAGTAAACAATGTTTGTCTGAGTGGTGCATGAAGAACTCCAATAATCTATTCAAGCATTATACCATTTGTTTATTATTTGTATGTTTTAAATCCAATGAGGGACAGTTTTAACTGCACAAGCGCAGTCCGATCCCCAGAATACGAGTCAAAAAAACAAAAAGTAAATCTCTCACAAACTAATACCGAACCAATTTGGTAAGGATGGAATAGTCTCTATATTCAGCGATAATGTCAACATTTCCATTCTCATGTACAAAAAACAAATCACAAAATGAACAACATACAGTAGTACTCTATTTCTCATGTTCAACATTTTTTCTTTTTGTTTTATTATTCCACATATCTATTCATTTACATACAAACATCTACAATCTCTACAGCACAGTACAATGATAAGTTGATAAACTCTCTGTCACATTTAAATTATGGCAATACACTGAAACTGACAAAAGCATCAGAAGACCTATGGTATATTTGTAGAGTACGGACGTCGGCCTGTTTTCTTCCAGCTGCTGTTTCATCAAATATGGCCAGCTGATATTTTAGTGTGCTTTCTTGCCCGAAATAGTTTGGAGGCAGAGTGAACATGTTTACCACTTATTGCTTTGATTTCTTTTTGCACACAAGAATGATTGTTGCTAAGTGAACACGTTAAGAAATACAAAAGACCCTGTAACAAAACCCAAAAGTTTTACAGCCAGTACACAATCTTAAGTGAGGACCAAATCCAGGACTGCTTGTACACAGATAAGTCATAGCTTCACTGAGATTAGTTACTGTAATTCACAGCATACAACAGCAATTATGACATACGCATTTGTAATTCAATGAAGGGAACAACAGCTACACATTGGAGATGTGACCATATGAAGGGTTACAAACTGCAGGACTGTCTGGAAATGTTTTTCGATGGGCCATTTTGACAGTGACAAAGTGACAAAGAAGTTCTATATATAACAGATGGCTGGTCGTGTGCGTACAAACCCAATCTTTAATCGTTATCTTTTTCAAGCATTCTCTAAATTGTAACCAACTTTCGGCTCATTTTAAAGGGTTAGTTCACCCAAAAATGAAAATTCTGTCATTAATTGCTCACCCTCATGTCGTTTTAAACTCGTGAGACCGCCGTTCATCTTCGGAACACAATTTAAGATATTTTCGATGAATTCTGAGACCTCTCTGACCCTCCCATAGACAGCGATGCAATTACCACGATCAAGGTCCAGAAACGTAGCAAGGAGATCGGTAAAATTATCCATGTGACATCAGGGGTTCAACCGTCATTTTACGAAGCTACGAGAATACTTTTTGTACGCAAAGAAAACTAAAATAACGACTTTATTTAACAATTCGTCTCCTCCGCGTCACCCTGATGCCATTTTGGAGAATATCCACTGACACGTAAACATGTTATTCTGTGTCAGCTACGTCACACGGATACGTTTTCTACGTTGTTTATGCTTTGATTTGAACGAAAACAACATATCCGCGTGACGCAGCTGACACAGAATAGCATACGCTGTTTACGTGGATTTACGGGTCAGTGGATACTCTCCAAAATGACATCAGGGTGACGCGGGAATAAAGTCGTTATTTTTGTTTTCTTTGCGTACAAAAAGTATTCTCGCAGCTTCGTAAAATTACGGTTGGACCCCTGATGTCACCTGGATAATTTTACCGATCTCCTTGCTACGTTTCTGGACCTTGATCGTGGTAGTTACATTGCTGTCTATGTGATGGTCAGAGAGCTCTCAGAATTCATCAAAAATATCTTCATTTGTGATCCGAAGATGAACGGAGGACGTACGGGTTTAGAACGACATGAGGGTGAGTAATTAATGACAGAATTTTCATTTTTGGGTGAACTAACCCTTTAAACTTTTGCAAGAGCATTAAGTGCGTCCCATCTGAGTAAAACACCTGATTGAGAGATATGTCTGTCTATAAGTCTCAAAATGGTTTGTTTTTCATATCTTTTTTCTGCTTGGATCGCCGCACCCTGCTAGAACGTCGATGTATTACAAATCACTTTCTTGTCTGTGCCGTGATGGGAGATCTGCCAGTACAAACCGAGGAAGTAGAAAATATTTGGCAATTAAAGATGCGCACGGTCACACATGGCACACATAAAGATTGTCACTACAGCATCTGTGACACTACTGGTGACCGACAGTCACGGCAGACATGGCAGCTTCTAGAATAGTTGAATTTTTAAACTACGTGACGCGTGGCACTGCGCAATGCCACTTCATCCAATTGAAATGAGCAGTAAGGCTGTTATAAACATTTTGAGCGCTTGAAAGTTACTATATAGTTTGTGTTCGGTAACCACTTTGGTTAAAGTATATTTAAATCTAAAAATGGTAGGTTGTATTGTGTGTCTACTCTGAGAACATAATATGGCTGCTATCCTACAAAATGGCAGTAAAGAACATTGAATGACACCAAACTGTTTTCGTGTAAGCGCTGGCTGTGTTTACAAGCAACAGGGCGGAAATATAGCTTTCAGCCAGAGGGGGTTTTGTCTTTTTTGCTTCAGTATCTGGTTATTGAACCAGTTTTCCATGATACTCCATGGAACTAGTATTAATTGTGCTTGGTAAAATGTAGCAGAATTGGACAAGTTGCTTTTGCTTCCCATCAAATGTTGCTTCATTTTTAAAATCCATTGGGTTTTGACTTTCGCTTCTTTTTGATGCTCTATTCAGTTACTGCTACCAAGTCACCAAAGAATTGAACATCAGGTCAACAATGATACAGCAAAAAATTCACCCTGCATCTGTTTCTACAGATGCTCAAAGTAAAAAATACTATAAAATCAAACTCTCATAAACGGTTATATAAATAAATACAAATATTCAGAGAACACTCAACATTTCACATGCAAGCACACATACTTCCATACTTACACACACACACCCACACACAGACGGATACCTCTGTTTCTTTACAAGAACACAAGAGAAAACGTGAAGGAGGGCGTTTGTGTGTGCTGCAAATCAGTGTATTGACTAGTTCAGTCATTTTTTAAAATATATTCTTTCTATCTATCTATCTATCTATCTACACTACTGTACAAAAGTTTTGGGGGCGGTCACATTTTTGAAGATTTTTGAATGAAGTCTCTTATGCTCACCAAGGCTCCATTTATTTGCTAAAAAAAACAAAAACGAAAAAAGTAATATTGTGAAATATAATTAGAATTTAAAATAACTTGTTTTCCTATTTTAAATATATTTTAAAATGTAATTGATCTTAGACTAATTTTCAGCATCGTTACTCCAGTCTTCAGTGCCACATGATCCTTCAGAAATCTTTCTATATTTAAAACAAAAAACCCACACACAGACGGATACCTCTGTTTCTTTACAAGAACACAAGAGAAAACGTGAAGGAGGGCGTTTGTGTGTGCTGCAAATCAGTGTATTGACTAGTTCAGTCATTTTTTTAAATATATATTTGCTTTGATAAAAAAAAATGAAATCCATTAATGAACAGATAAACTGTATATACATACATCAAATGGAATCTAAGACATTATGTTGATACTAGTTCAACATTTGAACATGTAAATATCTTTTCTTATATATATGTTTGTATATTTAATAATAGTTTGAGTGTTCAAACAGACAGACTTGAATTACAGCTCATTTTTATATATTTATATTCAATACATAATTTACATAATCATCAAAATAAAACTATTGTTTTTGACAATTTAATCAAATCACATTGTGCTTCATTTATTTATTTATTTTAGTTTTTCGCATGTGTTAAATGTATTTTTTTGTATGAAAACGGGGCGAATGTAACGTTCGTCTCAATGTTTGCGCACATTCAAAAGCGACACAACTGAAGCTACTCTGTGGATCTCAATAGAAACACAAACTCTATGTTGATAGCATAAAACAATAATGCAAAATATGAATAATGGCATACTAAATCACACAAATGATAACCCATCATGTCACTTAGCTCATATTTTACATCATGTCCAAAGAATCATAGGTAGAGTAGCATAATACAGAGCACTTTCATCGGTTATGTTCACTATCTTCAAACATATTCTTATGAATCGTCACACTTAATTTCATGCACAACACCGTCAATAATCAGACATTTTGAAAGAACAACAGAATTCTTCAGATGGAGTAAAACCAAAAATGAGCAAACCACTGTCTATAGTAATGTGATGTCAGTGTTAATGCATTAAAACTTCTCAAAAGTGAGCAGTGCTTGAGCAGACGTTGCACACAATTACGGGATCACACATTTTTTAAGTTCTTGGGACACAACGGACTAGAGTAAAGCAACAACATTAACCATCACCAGCACCACTAGATCAACACTGTCCATTCAAATATATCTACCTACCGATTTCCCGGATCCTCAGTGATGGTTTTCAAATCACGTGATGGCTTGGATGAAGATTAAAGGGAAAGTCAAAAAGAACATTTCACAAATTAAATTTCACATTCATTCCATAACGCAAACCTGGAATGTGTTTAACATGGCAGTTTTTCTACACACGCACACATGGTCTTCCTGTGAGATAGTGAAACATCAGCAGGGAACATATCTATGCATGTAGATTTGAATTAAATCAAATTAAAATGAAATAATAATACAATTGCACATTTTGGAGGAATGAAGATATCTGTAAAAGTGGGATTTGTTTCGGCTGCTTCCAGCATTGCTCACTTGCTCACAGGGTCAAACTCAAACGCCGCCACCTGCATGCTGGAACGCTGCACTATTGAAGCACCTGACCACGAGTCTCAGGGAGCTTGAGGGCCAAGAAGCTTCCGACTGCCAAAGCCCCCGAGGCGAAGAGGATGGGCACCGCTTTAGTGATGCCCACGAACGACTGGAAGATGCTTATACCCAAAACTGCAGCTAACTTACAGAGGGCGTTCAGAAACCCGAAGGCTGTAGTTCTGTGGAAAAAGATTAAAAATGACATAAATTGGATCATAAATTCGTCTTTCTATCTATCTATCTATCTATCTATCTATCTATCTATCTATCTATCTATCTATCTATCTATCTATCTATCTATCTATCTACACTA